GTACATATAAAAACAAAAAAAAATTTTTTTTGTTTCATATCCTCCACTTGCAATTTTTTTAAAGGCTTAGCAACTGAGTACAAATGTCGTAACTAGAAGAGATAATTGTTTGCTTTACTTCTTTATTTACTGTTCTATGTTTTGAGGAAAATATGTTTAACAACTTATTTCAAAATAGCAATAATCTATATACATATGTAATGTATAATAATTGAAATGTGACTGTATTTTATAAAATACTAGTCCACTAAAATACAGCCAAGATAAGGTTAGTTTTATGTTATTTCATACGGTAACATGAGTGCACATGAGCCGCGTCACTGTGACTTCTGAATTGTTAGCCACGCACGGGTAAAAGGACAGTATAATAAATATATATATAAATGTATAATGTTATGAGATTTAAGGTATTTTGTCTAAACATTTATGTTTTCAGGTTATAATTTGCATTCATTCTAGAATGAAAGAGGTATAACTTATGTTTTTTCCTAATTTCTTATGGTGGTTGCAAGATCAGTCAAATCTACTGAACCTGTACAGAGATTAATTACTGAAAATTAACAGATAAAATATAATTATTTTTTTTTGTTAAGAAAGATTTGATAACTATCAGGACGTTATATATTATAATTTATTTATTTATTTTTGCAATTAAACTAAGGAAATATGCACATTACAATGCAGTAATGTGACATGGGGAAAGTATAAAATAGTCTTATAAATTACTCCTGAGGATGATGTAGATCATGTCAAAACATGTACATGTACAGTGATATTTTTATTTTAAAGTGGAGGCCATATGGCTTTAATAAAGTTTTTATTGTGTAAATATAAAATGTTGTTTTTTAATTATTTATCATCAATTGCTTTAGAATCCAGCTAAAAACCCAAACTATTTTTTCTCTACTTTTAACAAAATAGTATCAGTGAATAATTCACTTACACTGCCTCGTGGGTTACCACAGTTGTATCTTGAACTTCCAATACTAAACTACAAAATACAAACTTCTGAGACAAATTATTCTCCTTACCTCTATCAAACTATTAATCTCACTTTAAAATATCAACTATTAAGGCTATTCCCACCCATAACAGCTAATTTTCTAACTTCCCTTTCACTGGACTTTACTTTTACTCTTGTACCTGCTTGTTTGGTTGCTGTTATTTATATGTTTATCACTGAGGCCTCTAGAATTTTCTATAGTCTTGACACCAATGATTGCAAACACAATGTACGACTCTTACTGAGTTACGTAACCAAATTTGTCATAACTATTGCCTTTAAAATAACTGCTTTTAATTCTCTTGCTATGAAAAATTCAATAATCATTAAATGTTACCTCACAAAATATATTAGTTAATAATGCCTACACTACACAGTCTTGTATATCTAACAGCCTGTATTAACCTATCTCCATAAGTTAACCCTTCCATTTTAGGAATCATCCTAGCAAACATATGAACAACCCTTTCAAATAAGTCAATATCTTTTCTTGGATAAGAATACCAAAACTGTACAGAGTATTCTAAGTGAGCTTAACAAGTAATTTGTAGAAAAAAAATTACTTCTTTTGACATGTAATCAGTAAATCTGTATATATACCCTGAAATTCTATTACTTTGCTACTGGCAACAGAGAACTTTATCAACAGATTGTGTGACTTATCCATCACTTTGTCAAGATCCTATTCTTCATTCATGTTATTACATCACTACTAAATGCATGATTAAAATTTTGATAATCCAAAGGAATAATTTTGCACTTACATCTGTTTGCCAAACAAGAACTAACTGATTGATCCAAGTCATTTTGTAGTAGTTCAAAATCCTCAGTACAGTGAAAAATACTGAAGAGTTTATTGGCATCCACAAACTACTCATTTACTAATTATGTTCCTATCAATATCATAAATGTAAATCAGAAAAAGTAGAGGTTTAAGTAATAATAAACACCACTTATAACCAGGAGCCAGTTTGAATGGACTCTTATTAATAACAGCTTTTTGATATTCCTCATCCAACTATCTTATAAACCAATTCACTAGTCTTTCCCAAACCCCACCAGTGACTTCTTTACCTAATCTTTTGTAAGGCACCTTATCAGAATCTTTTTGAAAATTTGAGTACACCAAGTTCATGCTCTTTCCATCATCCAGATAACACAGAATAGTCTCAAAAAAGGTTAACAGGTTAAAACTTGAATACTTCCCTTTACTGAATCTGTGTTAACTGTTTTAGATATCACTTCACTACATGATTTTGCAAACCTTTTATCGCTTTCTCTAGAACTTCCCCACAATAAAATTACTACTAACTGGTCTACAATTTCTAGAACACCCATCATTCCATTAAAAAAAATGGAATAACATTAGCAATTTGCTAACCGTCAGGCATCTGCCCACTCTACTGATCTACCAAAAATGGAAAAGAGAAGCTTATATATCTGATATTTGACCTCCTTTAAAACCCTGGTAAAACACTGTCAGGTTATGATAGTTTTTAATTTCTCAGTCTTTTTACTTAAAACCAAAGGACTAATATCTATAAGTTAATTCCAATATTTCCAATAGAATGTTAAAGATCAGGAATATTGTTAACATCTTCTCTTGCAAAAACTGAATATTATAACATTTAATAACTCAGCCATCCCAGTTGAAAAAATTGCCATGAGAAACCTAAGAGCCCATTCCCCTTTTGCTTATGTTTAGCATACTTAAAAATCCTTGCTATTAGTTTTAACATTATCAGCCAGCTGTTTCTCATAAACCCTTTTGGACATTCCAATTTCTTTATTAGCCAAATCTCTAGATTTCCTATAGTACTGTAAATCTTCAATCTCAGCTATCAAATTAAACTTCTTAAATTTGCAGCATTTATCCTTGATTCTTCACTGTTAACATTGTCTTTTTTTTGGGGGGGGGGGTGACTATCTTGAATTAAATGCAATTAATTTTTATAAATTTCCAAACCACCTTCTAACTCATTATCGTAATTCACTATTGATAATCTTGTCTCATACATTAACATTGGCTTCTTGATAATAAAGAACTATAATTTGATTTCTTTTTATTTCAACATATAACAAAAATCAAATCAGATTCTGCAATGATCACTTTTCCTCCAACTTTTACCCACTTCAACTATTGCAACATCCTCATTAGTGGTTAACAAATAACTCTAAAATTGTATCACTTAGATCTGAGCAATTAACTCACTACAATCAATTACCTATAAGCATTGATTACATTGATTAACATCAGGTAGTTTAATCAAATAATCAGTTACAATTAAATAGATTAAAGTCACAAAAATAATAAAGTAATCAAAATTAGTGTTTCCAATTATTACCATTTTTGATTATTCTGTTGACTATTGTATAACTTATAGCCTGGAATTTTAAAACAATTCACATCATAAACATTCTCCAAGACTAACCCAATATCAATAATTCCCATTACATCATAGCTTTCTCTTGTGACTTGAACCCTAAACTCGTCATGTTTGTTTCTGAAATTACAAACATTAAAGTAATATCAACAACACTTATCTTTAAATCTGACAAACTTATATTTAAAACTATTAGTCATATTGTTATACTATGAATCTTTATATCAGTCTCCTTGTTCCTCTAGTTAGCCTATTAAGTTGTTTATTCCCAGGAACATCTGCAATGTACCCACATCACTGGAGGAAACATGCTACCTCCTGCCTCCTGTGATGGGGAATTATTATTCTCTAAGAGCACAGCTTTTCCAGTTAATGCCAAAAAAACAATATTTCCAAGTAGACAGATATGGTAATACATAATCTACACATGGCCATAAAAAGACTGATTTCCAGCCCTCAGACAGGTGGAGCTACAACAGTGACCCAGAGCCGCAATGTATGTTCATAAAACGTAGCTTCAAAAACTGAAGAGAATAAGAAAAGGCATAACTGCAGCAGAGAATGGAAAAGGACTTTTAGAAACACAGGTTGCTAAGTGCTCCAAGGAATCTCAGAATAAAAGTACAAGAATTATCAACAATGTGAAAGTAGCACTCAAATATTATAATAAACAAAACCAGTACAGAAAGTTTTTTCACATAATGTTAAAAAAATACAACAAAATAGAAAAGATAAACAGAGCCCCTGCATTTGAGTGTAGATGATACAGTATATCAAGCACTACTTTTGAGATATCAAATGTGTTCCTCTGAACATTAAAGAAAAGCCATATGAAGTTAAGGTAAAGGTCATGTATGTGCCTGAACAGTCAACTTTACAAAATAAAAATTATAAATTCAGAAATCAGGTTAGATTCTAACAGAAGATCATCTCTGAAAGATGCCAACAAAACAGAAGTGTTGAACTAAGAAAAATCTTACAACCCAAACCCCACAACTCAAATATGGTTAAAAATCTGGTTAAACCAGCAGATTATGTTCATCAGAAGATTCTATCGATATAGGAAGTGTACCAAAAATAATGTAAATTAAAAAGAAATGAAGTTACAAAATAAAACCAAAGAACTTGAATGACAATCCATGTCCGTTAAATTTCAGTTCAGCAAAATGCACAGAGAAAGCTGGTCTTATAACCACACAGCAATAATTCACTGATTATTACATGAAATTCCTGGCACTAGTAAGCTCATAAATCGTAAGCATATTGTGTAAGAGAAATTGACTGGCTAGTGGCCAACATAATCCATGCAGATACAGTATTTCAATGTTAGGTATGTTAAGAACTATTCTTTTTTCTTATAAACCAAACAGCAGTTTTTTTGCAGGTAGGATTTAGAAAAACTGACCTGAGATGATAATGCTGTATAACAATACATTTCAACTCTTATGGTTTTGAATTCTAAACAATCAAATCACCTATACTTAGCTTTCTCTACAGACTATTACTGAAGTATACAATCAGTTTTCCAGAATAATGTATTTTTACAAACACATCTAGCATATCATTATATTATAATGAAATGAAAAGGCATTTTTTTTTCAAATATTCCTTACCAGTTTGCACAGCATGAGCCTTCTGCATGTGTGTAACTAACTCTTCTCTTTCCTTGAAATGTATCTGACAAGCAGGGCACTTAGAATCCACAATTGATGCAAAATGACTCTGCCGTACATGAAGCCTTAATTTGTATGGCTGAGATGTGCAGAAGTTACAAAAACGGCAGACAAAAGTTCTCATACTGTGGACAGTTTTCATGTGGTCTAGGTGAGAAGTAATGGTTGATGATGGGTATGAACACAAACTACAATAAAAAAACCTTCCCAAAAACGTAATCTGGGATTCTGGAATATTACGCACAATTTTTCCATGGATAGATGAATAATGCTCTTCAACTTGATTAAGGTTTCTCAAAAGAGCCTGACAAAACCGACACTTAGATTTTAAAACAGTGCTTTCATTCACATTTGAAGGCATGCATACAAACACACAGTTTTCATTATACTGGGCTTTAATGATGGTAGAAACAAGATCATGAACTTTGCGGTAGTGTCTATCCAGGTCTCGGACGGTTTTTAATTGTATTTTTTCGGGGCAAATCATGCAATTCTGTATTTTTTCATTGGGAGAAAAAACCTGAGAAAATAAGTAAACTCCCACAAATTCATCTTTATTTTCTGCTTCTTCTACTGGTAATTCACTTTCAATAAGCAAAACAGTGTTAGGCAATTTTGACATGGAAGTATCCTCAGCAGGGTCAAATGTACATTCTTCTAGTCTAGGCAAGCCAATGGTATTACGTTCCTGGGAGAAAGAAAATAATTTCTAGAACATAAAGTAAATTTATTATGCAAAGGATAGACAAAAAATGTTTATTTTCATTTCAATGTCAGCCAATTTTTTTTATTACTTCATGACTTAAATATTAGTACTTTAGAATTTTCAATGTAACATATTTTCAACTAATAGTTTTTCTCTAATTCTATTGCATTATCTTTAATGTTAAAAATCTAATTTTTTCTTCCTAAATAAATGAAATTAACTATCATGCGACTACACATCATTTCTTAGCATTCTGTAAGTCAACTTTAAGCATTTGATCAAACAAGACACTATGGTCACCTTAGATGTATAACAATTTCCACAGTATTTGCAGAATCTCTGTCACTGAGATAACTACAGTAGCTATATAATGGCTTCTATTTGTATAAGTTCATGGAAAAAGAGTGTAAAATGTAAGTATCTTACAATAAACATCAGCAAAAATAAAGTACAAGTTAACATTTTCCTTACCTGAAAATGTATTTATGTTAGATACTCACCTCTCACACAGAATATATTTACCCCTCATCAATCTGCTTAGGATATTTGCATGCCACCTTAAGCTAACTCTGACCTAAAAAGCACATTTAATATTAACTGTGTTAGTGCATGATGACATCATCAGACGATAACACCCCTCCACCAACATAATACAGCATCCTTGTGCAGCAGCTACCCCAAAGCTCTTGCACTTGAAATAATTTCATTCTTACACGAGACATGAAGAAAGTGCATCAGAAGTGGTGCAGACAGGTGAGAAGGTGTACTGAGGTATCTATCAGAAATACATTTTCAGGTATAAAAAATGTTGACTTCTGAGACAATATCTTGCCTACACACACACACACACATAGAACTGCTAGAATCCCACAATGAAATGGTGGAGATGTCAGTGTAAACATTAAATCTAGATGAGCTCCCTTCAAAAAGTGCCTGAAAGGAAAGCCCAAGGAGTGTGACACAATGGCAGGGGCTCCACAGGGGTGCACCAATGGGAGGCTGCATCTCATTTCAACCAGGGTATACTCTTCACCTGGAAGAAAAGGAGGAAAAGGCTTAAGAGCCCTAATTGTTACAAGGAATGGTGGAATTTTTGCAGGACCAACCAAGCACCCGCATACAAGTGGTTGACTAGTCAAGAAGTGTAGGGGGTTAGGGTGTGATCAGACTGCACAGTCCCTCTCTCACCTCAACTGGACAGACAGAGACATTGGAGATGAACCTGTCCTGCTGCAAGAGGAGAGTACACTGGTTGTTTGAGGGGAGACCTGCACTACACAGACAATGCCACCACTGTCCTACTTTCCACCGTATTGTACTGTACACAATCAGTCAGTGACAAACTCTCCAAGGTCCACCACCCCAGCAGCTAGGAACTTGTAAGTGGCAAGGTCTCCAATGCATCACATGAAGAGGAGGAGAGATAATTTGTGTTCGAAGACTCAAAAAAGCACCCAGATCACTCTCCTGTTGCAGGCTTTTCAATGATAGTACTGTCTAAACCAGGTAATTGAGTAACTTTAATACCTGTATATCAATTGATGAAGCAGAGCAAATCAGGGTTGTACAGACAAAAGAGGGGCCACTATCAGGACCCAAAAAGCAGTGTCGCACATCAAAGAGAATAGATGTGTGAAGAGACAAAGTGAAGGATAGGCATACAGAAAAAGATGCGACCATTCCTGGCTAAAAGCATCAAACACAAAGGCTGAACAATAATGAACTGGACACTAGAAGAGAGGACATTTGATATTGAGAACAGTGGCAAAGGCATTAACTCTCTAGGAATAAAGTCAGTCAAATAGACCAACATCATAACCACTTTAGCACTTATCATAATTTCCATATTATAACTTTTAACTCTTTCCAGATGGATCATGGGTGAAAGGACATGTCATCACATTTGTTGACTCCCATTTAAAATATTATTGAACTACTATTACATGAATTATATCAATAAGTTTGGTATCAAACTGTAGATTATAATTCAAATTTTAAAACTATACATTACTAAATTCGTTAATTTAAAAGAAAATATTAAAAAAACATAGATAAACATTGATTTTTGTGTGTCACATGGTATGGTGAATGCAGCACTGGTTCAAATTAGATGTTTGTGAAGTCAAAATACTAAGTCTATAGTTTTGTATGAATTAGATACTCAAATCACATATATTGACAAGCTAAAATATAAAATAAGAAACTATCTTTTCTATTCACTCATGTAATAAATCAAACACAGTGGCACCTCGCCCACCTCTTTCCATTTTTGGAAACGCTCCTTTATATACACTTACTTCTGTATATGATATAAATAACCAATCAGAAGCTCAGAATGTGGCTTTCTAAGCCATTTTAACATGATTGTATGCCATATCTTTCTTTCAAACCAAGATTTAAAGGATGTAGGTTGTGTCTTTAGTCTGCTTGAAATTTCATATTTTCTTAGACCCAAATACAGCTTAGGTACTAAGCTTGATAGATTATTGTGGAATTCTATGGTATTGATATAGTAATTTATGATTTTCTGATTATTCAACTGTATATATAATACCTCCAAAAAATTATTTCGTTTTTTATCCTCCACGTGCATAATTTTAAAAGGCTTAGCAACCTATGTCAAGCAAGAACGAAGTGCAAAGGTCGTAACTAGAAGAGATAATTCTTTCTGTACGCTTCTTTATTTACTATTCTATGTTTTAAGAAAAATAAATTTAAGAACTTGTTTCTAAATAGCAATAATCTATATAAATATATAATGTATAATAATTGAAATGTGACTGTATTTTACAAAATACCAGATGACTAAAACACAGCCAATACAAGTTACTTTGTACAGACCAAAGGATCAGTTTTACGTTATGTGATATGGTAACATGAGTGCACGTGAGCTGTGTCATTGTGACGTCTGTATTGTTAGCCAGGCATGGCTGAAAGGTCAATACAATAAAAGTAATAAATATATTTAAATGTATAATGTTATGAGATATAAGTTATTTAGTCTAAACATTTATGTTTATGTGTTATAACCTGAAGTCATTCTAGAAAGAAAAAGGCATAATTTATATTTATTTCCTTTTTTTTTTATGTTGGTTACGAGATTGGCCAAATTGGTACTGAACCCTGAATTTCATTACTGAAAATTACAGATAAAATATACAGTTTTTTCTTAACAAACATTTGATAACTATCTGGACATTATAAAGATTATGCATGTAAAATTTGAAAATTTTCTTATGCACAAAAGTATTTTTAATCTTAAAATGAAAATTACTTTGCATATTGGATAGGCAACACGCAAAAAGAAAAAGAGGCATGAGAAAAGCATTGCTTTACAAACCTTAAGATTTAATAAAAAAATATTTATACGAAACATATGAAAGCATTGTAATGTTTACTGATAATTTGCCAAATTTCCTTAACATATGATTACAAGGTCAGTCCCAGGGACTGAGCCCATGCTGAAAGAGTTAATACACATACATAACATTTGATAGACTTTCAGTAAACATTACAAGTCTTTTGTACACAAAAAATCAGGTTTTCTAATGAAGTATTTTTTACTGAATATTTGTCCTTGAGTATATATATGATATTTCTATATATTAATGTGAGTATTAAGTGATTTCCATGTTCAGATTAAACATACTTATCTTCATCTCAAAAACCTCAAATTTTATTTGCATAATCTTTAAAACTTCCTAAATAAATTTCATAAATTTTTTTCAGTAAAACTATATTTTATCTGTTATTTTTTCAACCCTAACTCTATACAAGGGTGGTCAAGTCGACCAACCTCATAACAATAACAAAAAATCAAAATAAATCTAAATTACTTTTTTTTCTAGAATGACTTCAAATTGTAATAAGAAACTACATTTGTTTATCTTAAATAGCTTTAAAACCCATAACATTATACATCTATTTATATATAAATTTTGTTTTATTGCCATTTGAACCCTGTCTAACTACTACCTGTGCCATTATAAGTCAAAAATCACTTGGTGAATGTACAGCTAACCTCATGAAAATATTTCATTACAATTTATTTCACCTAACCCAGCCTTAAGTGACATAAAAAGTTTGCTATTTTTACACTTTAGTTACTTTTATAATAATAAAGAATACACATGAAAAACAAGAAAAAAAGTACTTATCTGGGTCTTTTTTTTGCTGTTGAATGTCGATTACACTTAACCCCACTTTTTTATACCAATGGTAGTAATGCAATAATTTATTTTTTTCATTTAATTGAATAATGTACCAAAGAAAACAGAATTTAAACATGCAAAAAGCAGACAATGTCCCATAACTATCACAATTTTTCTGGCATTTTAACTGTGCAACAACAGCTGTTAAAACTTCATTTTAGCTCATTAGTGTGTTTCCCTTGGGAATCAAGCTTGAACGGAAAGCAAAATTGAAAAGTCTCTTTACAGAAAGAAATGTAATATAATACATCATTTCACAGATGAAAGCCTTGGCTTTCTATTTGTTATAAATACTATAGCATTGAATGTCAAAGAGAACTATTAGCAATTTCTAAGTGATAAGGATATTACAAGAAGAGAGGAGATGCCAAAAGAACAAATGTCACAATTCTCACACTAGGGTAAATTCAGGATTTTTTTAAATATTGATTTATAAAAGTAATAACTTAAAACTTATATACTATTAAAACATGGATTATTAGCTATGTTTTTATGCTATATTTATTGAAATACCATGAGAAGAAAGTAGTTTCATTAAATTTTGAACATAACTCACAGAAACCTTATAACATGCACAGAAAAAGATGCCTATGGAAAAAGGATGAATTAGACTTGTGTCCAACTGAATGAAAAATCTGAGAGTGAATAAGCCACTCCTTGGATACAATTCAGTTTGGACAAAAAAGGCAATTTGCCTTCAGTTTCAAAGTCCCCAGCACATGACAAGCTATGAGACATGCTTGATGGGAATGACCCCAAAACAGCAATTTC